TGCAAACATTGGAGAGAAAAAAGCAGATGCAGGCTCAATGTGAGCAGCCTTATGCTGAGGCTGACAAACTTGTTTGTTCACTAACATATAAAGCAAAACCAGAAAATGACATCGATCATAAGCTAACAGTGTTTCATCATTTAATCATAGAGCAACCAGAGGGAAAATCTACTCTACATGAGCCTGAGATCAGTTGTGTTTTTCTGCTTGCAGGTCTGACCAGCGATGCCCTGAGCTCTGAGCGCATGGAAGAAGTCAGAGATAGTAGGAGCTGGATTTTAATTGTTCATGTGAAGAACTGTTCTGATTGTTTTGGGTTTCTTACTAAAATCCTTTTTTCCTACATCAGCTTTTGCTTTAATCGATAATTTATAACATTGAAATTTTAAACTCATTAATTTCTTAATCTGTCCCTTTTTGCTGCTTTTGGCGGTTTCTCCTGCAGTGATAGAGATGAAGGAACCTCTTCTACAACCGCTTGAAGCTCTTCCTGCATCGACTCGTGTTGATCTGCTCAAACAGCTCAGACAGGTTCTAGAGGAAGGAGATGCTCTGGGCGAGCTGAAGGAGGCGGTAAGATCTTTATTTCTGCTCTCTTATTGGAAACCTAGAGAAGATCTTTGGAATAAACTCATCTATCAGTCTGGATCCGTTTTCTAACCTGCTGTAGGTCTGCTCTTAATCAGCGGCTCATTAACTCCTTCCTCCATCTTAGCTGGAACAGAGCAGCAAAGGACCCTATGAGCGTCCTGAGTCACAGGCCGTCTCGTCCTTTATGGACGTCCTGGACAAATCCAAAGTGTCCACCAAGGTGAAGGATGCGGCTTTCTTGCTGGTGAACGCCATGGAAGGTCGGTCAGCTCCGATGTTCTCCTCTGATCAAATTCAGTTCATGGTTGTTTTCAAATCTGTGCAGTTTTCAGTTTTCCTTCATGAACTTTTCTTCTTCTGTTTCCTGCAGCTCTTCCAGAGGAAATGCTGCGACCTTTGACCTCCTGTGGTCCTGAGACTTTAACAGTCCTCAGCCAGCTGGTTCGTCCGCTCTCACCCAAACAACCTCACATTTCCTACGTCTTGTCCTCTGATCCTCCACAGATTTATCATTAATCCAGATAAAAACACCAAAGATGAGAAACAGAAATAAAGATAAAAAGTATTTAGGTCTTTTTAGTCCAGGCTGACAGAACCAAACACCATGTAAGATCACCATCTGTTTGTTCTAGTTGATCTAATTCTAGATTGCGCTTAGAATAAGGAGCTGTGGTGTGATTCTGATTTAATGTTTGGACACTAGAGGAATGTCCAGCAGCGAGACCAGGAAGCTCTGATAGCTTCACTGCTGGAGGCCAGGAGAGAACAGGGCTGTCTGAGGGAAGCTGCTGCAGAACTGCAACATAGATGATAGAAACCTAGAGGTTTGTCTTGCTGACAGATTGAGATCTACGTCTAAAGAAAAGAAAAATGCAGCAATAAACGCAGTGGGACGGTTTCTATGCTGACTGAGGCAAAGACGTGATTCTCAGAGAGAGATCTGGGAAGTTTATTATTCTATTTTTTTTTCACACTGCAAAAAATTTTAATTGAAATCTAAAAAACGAAATGATTTTTCCTTAAAATAAGTGCATTTTATTTCAAATGCATGTTATTTAAATATCTTATTCTAAGAGTAAAAATACTAATTCCATTGGTTTATCATCTTATTGACCTACTCAGTTTAAGGGTATATACACTTAATTTAAGAAATAATTACTTATTTCTGGATTGTTTTTTTGCATTTTATAAAGAGATGAAAGAGATATGCTGTGTTTACCTGCTCTTTCTGCACCTCATTAATTTGGTTTATGTGAAACAATTCACTACACTGCAAAAAATGGAAATCTGTATGAGTTATTTTTGCTTAAATTGAGTGAATTTTGTCTTGAATTGAGATAAGTGAGACAACTTGCCAATGGAACAAGACAATTTACATTTAAATTAAGAAAAAAACAATTGCTCTGTCTTATTTCAAGTGAATATTATCTAATTGTCTTATTTTAGGAGTAGAAATACTCATTCCATTGGCAAATCGTCTTATTTAACTACTAAAATTAAGGGTAAATGCACTTATTTTAAGAAATGTTGTACTTATTTCTAGATGGTTTTTGCAGTGTACTTTATCTGTTTTCTGTCCTCCTGAACTCCTATCATGGGAAAATTTCTCTCGTTTTTAATGTTTCATTCATTGTTTTTGCTCCATTCTGTCCTGCTTACTATAAACAGGATATGAGACTCCAAACAGACTCTCCGTGCGATTAACAGATTTTATTTGGTATTTTCCCCCAAAGCGGATGTTTTTTACTTTGTAACAGCTTCTCTTCTTGTGAGACCCAAGAAATTGCTGCTGAATTGCTGCATAGTCCGACTAAAATAGACCCGTTTGGTAAAATCATGTCGGGTGTGATCATCCACATTGACTTTCAATAAGTGCTAAAAACCACAACCTCATTCGACACAATTTTCTGTCAAATTGGACACAAAATTGGATTTGGGTATTCTGGCCTTAGTAAACCATCAATTACCAATTTTTATTTATTAACCAATTAAAATGTCTGTTCTGAAACCATTGGCTTGATCAGTTTCTGACCAATATTTTGGTTAATTGAACAAAAATTGGTTTAACTAATTAGATGTTGGTTGTTTTTCCAACCGATCCATTCTTACCCAGC